AAACACTTGGCTGTATGTGTAATATTTAATGCTATGTCAGTAAACCATGCCAACTTTGAATCAATTGTCGTTACGACTGACCACGCGCCCCGGAAGTTCACTTATTTCGTTCGCATAAACTATACTGAAGCACCGCTTTAGCAAATCGTTCGCCTATCCTTAACCAGAGCCATACTTTAACCATGCGTCTAACGTTTGATACATGATACCAGACGCTCCGTCCTTCTCGATGCTCAATCCCCGGATAAAAGTTTTGCGTCAATTACGACACGGTGCCAACCACACTGTATTCAAGCCCCACCGTAATCTATTTGCTTATCGTTACAAGCTAATCTCAAGCTCTTGACTGTCCAGTTTATCGTTACTCATCAGTTGCCAGCCCACCTAAGCGATCAAATAGTTACCCTTTAGGATTACACAACGTAACGTGAACCAAGAGGCCAGTAAAGGGTATGGACACGTATAGTAGTAAAAGCACAAGGGTTTATAAACCCATGAGGCGTATTGCACGAGGATACTCGCTCTTACATGTCCTACGATTTGTTTCCAATGGTGTTGGGACACGCAGGCTCGTGCTTCTGATACACTATGTTCCAGGAGCTGGATCCACTATTCCGTTTCTCTCAGCACACCAGCTGGATCCCCTCGAAGCATTTCGGTGTATCCATGCTTCATGGCTTCTTTCACGTACGCCTTACTGACATGTTTTATTAACAAGGGGCTTGTTTACCTTTAACCGATCTGCCAGATCGGGTGTATTTCTATCTCTTTATCATTCCGCTTCGCTTGTTTGCGAACAAGGATACTGCTTGTCTCCCGTTTGCATCATTTGATATCTTGACCTTACAACCAACTTCACGTGCGCGCCTACCGCAGCCCATCCATACTCGCGCTGCATCCGTCGTCCACTTTGATTGCCCAGTTCACGCTACCGTATAAAAGGTTCTGACTACCGTTGACGCCCTGTGGGTTGGCTTGCAACTACGTCTGCGTTGAGACAAGTCTCCGTGTTCCTTTTTGATTTTCGTGGGCCTTTTGGAACGAGGATACTGCAGGTTGGCCATCATACGGTATAACATGTCAACGTTTAGTCTAGCCTACGCGTTATTGTAAGAGAAAGCAGACACACGCGCCATCCGGCAGAACTAAAGGCCGGAATACTGAGTACCTACGAAGAAGGCGATGATTGGAAGTGTTACATGTGTGTCGTCCGCTAAACCGCTGAGCCGATGAGCAAACACATACAGATCGATGGACCGATAGCTTATTCGTCCAATCTTTTGCCTTGTGCTGATTGGTTCCTTTTCGACTTATTCATCTGGTGTAACCTACAAGCTAACTATTACAGTTTTTGTCACGTCCCATCCGGTGTGTGTTCTTATTCAATTCTTGCGCGGACTAAGGATCCAGGTGCGATCCAGCAATACTCGAGTAATACGCATCAGAATGGCGACGGCTGCTACTAGCCCTCTTGCGGGACTGTCATGTCTGTGGCCTGATGGTGCAGCAAAACCCTCTCTACAGTCGTGGATACAGTGGAAAACATCTTTCCAACATCAAATGACTCTCTTTCCTGTGTTAAATCCCTCTATCGTGTTATCCGATACCCATTGGATTATGTTATTCCGCCAAGCCCTTGGATCAGAAGGACAACGTCATTTTGACGCTATGAACTTGATGGCTAAGACCAGTATTGTGCACGTGATCCAGTTGTTTGAGGAATTGTGGGGAATCCAACAAAGTGTGTTTTCCGCTCGTTATCAGTTTTTCAGGCTACAGCAACGATGCGGAGAAAGTGTAAATGATTTCATCGCCCGCATTCATCAAGCTACACCGGAATGCCGGTACAATACCATTCCCTCAAGTCGGTTTGAAGAAGTCATGAAAATCCAGTGCCTAATTGGTGGAGTCACAGATGATGGTGCGAGGGAAAAATTATTGTCACAGGAGGAAGAAACCCTTTCATGGGAAATGGTGTGTAACCTTGTACGTCAGAGGGAAAACCTAAAATCCCAACTATCCACCCTCAACCCTCCTCAGCCTGTGGTATGTGTGAACAAACTGTCATCACGGTTATCTTCTGAAAACAGGGTACGGAAGTTCGTCTGCTACCGATGCGGGGATCAGCACACTTCTCC